CAATGTCAAGCTCTCTCGGACTTCCCAACAAAGATGGAGGGGGAGATTTGCTTTCTCTCTCTCTCCTCAGTAGCAACTAGGGTGGTTAAAAGCATGTGGCAATGAGAATACGAGCCTGAAGCTAGAATTTAAATGCCTGGCTGTCTCTTTTACTTTGTGTTGAAACACTGGTGATCAAATAGCAACACTGAGAAATGAATGTTTCCAGCTCTGGCAGTAACTTAGTGAGTCTGAGAGGTCAGGAGACCCTGGCTACCAACTGGCAACAGGAGGTGAATCTTACAAACTAGGTTTTCTTAAAGGACACACATCACCACCAGGAGAAACCACCAGGAGTATGAGTCATGCATAAGTGGGTGGCCAAAAGAAACGAAACTTGAGCTGCTACTTTGATAGAATAGATCCAAGGTAGTATTGCAGTGGATAGAACACTAGCCCTGGAGTCAGGAACACCTGAGTTCAAATCCGGCCTCAGATACTTAGTAGCTGTGTCATTTAACTTCTGTTTGCCTTAATCTACTGGAGAGGTAAATGGCAAACCACTCCAACATCCTTGCCAAGAAAACTCCAGATCCATATACCCATTCCTAACCTCTCCACTAAACTTTAGTCCTGTATTAATAACTGCCTGACAACTATTTACCTTGATTTCTCACAAGTACTTTAAATTCAGCATGTTTAAAACCTAACTCACAATCTTTCCTCCAAAGCCTATCTTTCCTTCAAACTCCCTACTTCTGTTGAGGGCACCACCATCTAGTTTCTAGTGCCTCCCCTCTCCAATTTATCTTCCACACAACTGTTAAGCTGATATTCCTAAAATACAGGTCTGACAAATCTAATCCCCTTCTTTAAAAATCTTCAGTGGCTCTTTATTGTCTTCGGGATAAAATATAAACTCCTCAGACTGGCAGTTAAAGTCTTTCACAACTTAGTTTTCATCTACTTTTCTGTCTGATTACATATTATTCCCCTTTCCACATTCTAAGTTTTTGTCAAACCCTAAATACTAGCTGTTGCCGGGACACAACTCTCCATCTCCCTCCTCAGTGACTTTGCATAAGTGATTCCTTGTGCCTGGAATGCACTCCCTCCTTACATTTGCCACTTAGAATTCCTAGCTTCTTTTAGAGCACAAGTCAGCTGCTACCTCTTACACAAAAAATTTTCTGATCCCCTCTGTTTCCCCTTTTCTTACTCTCTGTTTATTCATATTCTCTACCTCTTCTAATTACTTTTTACTACTTTGTATATATTTTGCATTTTCTAACTTGTATACAGTATATATTGCATAGCCCCTAATAGAATGTAAGCTCCCTGAGGACAAGGGCTGTTTTCTTTTTTAGTGTCTCCATACTCAGTATCTTGCAAATAGTAGCTACTTAATGAATGTTTAATTTAATTTAAGCAGACTTACTTGATCATATCTTTCATTTGGAATTGAATTCTTTTCATAGTTCACATAAACTAACAAAAACTGCCCATCGTCAGACAATGGTTCGGGAAAAATAAAATACTTGTTCACATCTGAATCCACTGCTGTCAAATCTGCTAAAAACACAGGAATCGTGAGATAAGTGATCTTGTGGGGCATTGTATAATTGAAATCCTATTTTAGAGCAGTCATTCAAATGAAATATTTTAAAATTTAACATTCTTCAGGGATGAAAATCGTGCATGCTGTGGGGTTTGCTGTCACCTGCATTGAATGTCAGACAGGCAACAAGTTTCAGATAAGTACCTGTCATTATTAGTTGTAAAATAACCCTCAGTCTCCTGTTATTTTAACCCTACAGGAAACTAGCTTGCTAATTTAATATTTTTAGTTTGAGCCAGTGTCTTTGGGGTACTGAAATATTCTACTCAGCATGAATTTATATATCATATATATATATGATATATATGGAGAGGGAGAGGGAGAAGGAGAGAGAGAGAGAATTGACATTCAGTAACTGGATATTTTCTTTCACATTTTTCCATTGGAATAGGGAATTTTTGTCAACTTCTGAAAAGAAAACTTTGGCCTTGGTAAAATGTATTTAATAAGACTTCTTCTATTCAATATGGCCTCCATCTATACCAAAATCTCTCAGGAATCATAATCATTGTCTTAGATTTCACCCAAAGTCTAGTTTTATCTTCAGCCAAAGAAAGCTGAGGAATTGGTTGTGGTCATGTTAATGCCATAGAAGAAATTCTCATTCGCTAATATAACACAGATACTATATTAAATTCTAGAAATTCTTGCAACTAGAAACAGAAATATCTATTTCTCCTGCCATAGACAGTTGCCCTCCTTTTTCTACAAAAATTGTGTTTTCAATGATCTTTGGATTCTTTTGACTAGCACTCAGTGAGATGCTACTCTGACTTTGGTTGTTCAGTCATGTCCAACTCTTTGTGAGTTTTCTTGGCAATGATACTAGAGTAATTTGCTATTTCCTTCTCCAGCTTATTTTACAGATGAGGAAACTGAGGCAAACAGAATTAAGTGACTTGTTCAGGGTCACAGAGCAACTAAGTGTCTGAGGCCAGATTTGAACTGAGGGAGATGAGTATTCCTGACTCCAGGCCATGCACTCTATCAACTTCTACATTTTGCTGCTCTAATCTGACTTAAACACTTTTCTTTTAATATGGTAGTAGAGAGGGAATAGCCTGGTTAGTTTCTCCACCACCACCAGCAGGGGCTCAGAGGGAATAGTTTTGCTAGCTTCTCCATTCTTCCCCACAAAAAAAAAAAAAAGGGTAGCACACTGGCAATGAACCTATTCTCTGCCCTCTCAACATCAGATGGTACTTGCAAGTACCCCTATAATGACCAGAGGTGAAGATGAACCAGGATTGATTTCCAGAGAGGGAACCTAAAAACAGCTATATCCAGGGGGAAGGAAGGAATATAATGAATTCCATTTTTGAAGGCAGCAGGTGGAAAAATTACCCACTCAACACCCAGGGAAATAGTGACAAAGAAAATATGTATGACTCATCAAATTGGCAAAGGCAATAAAAGACAAAAGCAGTAAAATGTTAGGGGCGCTAAGGAAAGACAAGCAATCTATTACACCATTAGTAGATCTGTGAATTGGTCCAACCATCCACAGGAGGAGAAAAGTGGAAATTATGAGAGAAAAATTACTAAAAGTTTTTCATATCCAGGAGTCCCACTAATACTTTTTATCTCCTAAGGAAATTTTAAAAATAACATAGAATAAAAGGCCTGTGTATAAAAATTAGTCACAGAAGCACTTTTCTTTGGTGGCACAAAACAAAAACAAAACCCTGGAAACAAAGAGGGTGTCCATGGATTGAGGATAGCTGAACAAATTACATCATATGAATGCCATGAAATATTACTGAGCTATAAGAAACCATTAATTTGAGAGATTTAGAGACTATGGGATGACAGTCTGAACCGATTTAAAGTGAAATAAGCAGAACCATGAGAACAGTATGTGACACAATGATCAATTACTGATGCTGACCACTTTCACCTTTTATCAATTATTGGTTCTGAGCAACCTTACAGAAGAGGAAATGCACTTCCTTCTTCTCAGTAAAGAGCTTCAGAATATTGCACACAGCCAGTGAACAAACCATTACACTGGTTTTGCTTAACTTTTTGTTAAATGGTAGGGTTGACCAGCTGAGGAAGAAGAAAATATTTGTATTAAAACACTAGGTATCAGTAAATGTATGTAATAAACAAATTTTAAAACAGAAAAGGAAAGGGGGGCCAAAAAAGAGGGTTAACAATAGGGATGGCAAAAAAACGAAGGCCACTGAAATACATGTATGTGTGCATGCATAACACAATAGAGAAAAGAAGGAAGTTCAAAAGGAAATAGATAAGCATTATTTTTTGCAACATGGCTGATAATGGAAATGTTTTACATGTTTTCATATATATAATTAATATATTGCTTGCCTTCTCAATGGAGGGCCTGGAGGAAGAAAATTTGGAACTCAAAATTTTATAAAATGAATGTTAAAATAAACATATGATGTATATATATTTTTTAAATTAATGTGTGGATTTTATGGTGTACTTAAAAAAACAAGTGGTATGAAAAGGAGATTCATGGTTTTACATACAATCGTTTTTGGGTGTGTTCTGCTAGGTATATGGAAATGCTTTTTTGGCATTTAAATTCAAAATCTTTTTTTTAATTTTTCTTTTAAAAATGAAAGACGGCATGGGTGCCCAGAGCAGGCCTGGCATTGGAGGTGCGTAGTCATGGGCATTAGGCACTTGCTTAGAAAGTAGAGGGGAAGAGGGGGTGGCAATAGCACTTTGGGACAGTCCTTGTTCAAAAGAACCAATTGTGGATAACGGGGCTACTGAATGGCCCCATAGGCTGGCATCTGCCCATCTGATTTCACGAAGGCCGCACGGGGATGATGGGCCCATTTTTCTGAATTGTGGCAGGCCTCTAGACACGATGGGGCCTGGGCCTGACCGGGACCGGCACATTAGAGGCCAAGGTAGCAAGGAGGCCTCGAAGCCGCCACAGACTCTGGAAGGAAAAAAGAGAGAGGGAGAGGGAGAGGGAGAGGGAGAGGGAGAGGGAGAGGGAGAGAGACGCAAGGAAGGGAGGCGCAAGCGCACTGGGCTGCTGCGCTGCCCACCCCACCCCCAACCCCGCGGTGCCTCCAGCTCTCTACTGGGTGGGGAACATGAAGGGATTGTAACATAACCTCTGGATTTGACATATGGAGACCCGAAGGGATTACTTCGTTTTAAGACCCAGGACCAGTCTGGGACCAGAGTCCTGAGCCAAGAGGGTAGCGCCTCTCCCCTCCTTCCCTTCCTGCGCCCGACGACCTAGCAGGCCCTACGCAGCTCCGAGGGAAAGAGGGGAAGCGGGAACTACAATTCCCAGCGTTCCGTGCGGTCGTGGTCTCGTGAGCGCGCCCGCGCCTGGGCCGGGGACGGGAGGGAGAGGCCACTGGAGGGCGATGCGCGAGCCCGCACGCCCGAGAGCGCGTGAGCGTGAGCGCTGGGTGGATTGAATGGGGATCTCCCCGGCCGGCCAAGTTCAAGTTGTAGCTTCCGACCCAGCTGCGGGGAGCAGAGCTGCGGCGGCCACGGCCACGGCCACGGGAGACGAGCTTCGTCCACCAGCGCGGGTGAGGGCGAGCAGAGAGACGGCAGCGCTGCCGATGGACTGACGGGGACAGACGGAGGGCTGGCAGGGCCGGGGGGCTTCCTTGGGGTCCCGGGACGGACGGAGCCGACGGGGGAAAGGAGCGGGGCCAGAGCAGCGGGGGAGGCGGGTGGCTGGCTAAACTGGGTCCCTGGCGTCTGGCTGTGCACAGAAAGGGTGCCGGGGGGTGATGTCAGAGGACCTGGGTTCGAATTCCGACCACTTTGGTCGCGAGGCATCTTTACCTCTGCGAACGAGCGTTCATTGAGCGCCCGCTGTCTGCCTGGCCGGCGCTGTACGGAGCGCTTTACACATACCCCATTTCCTCTCTGGACCTCAGTTTCCCAGTCCGTAAAATGAGAGCGGCTCTTATTTTGTCTCTCAAAGTGTGGTGTAAAGTCCTTGAGGGCGCAATGTGTTCTACACACGTCCCTGATACTGACTAGCCGGGTACTCGACACAGTGCCTTGAAGTTCGGTTGTGTCTGACTCTTCCTGACCCCATTGGGGTTTTCTTGGCAAAGATACTGTAGTGCTTCTCCGTTTCCTTCTCCAGCTTATTTTACAGATGAGGAAACTGAGGCAAATAGGGTGAAGTGACTTGCCCAGGGTCACCCAGCTTGGAAGTGTCTGAGGCTGGATTTGAATTCAGGCTCTGTCCACAGTGCTACCTAGCTGCCCAGTCTTAAAGTTTACAAGTCTCCTGTTCTGAACTGGGGAGTCAGTTTAGACCGGCTCCTCCTATGTGAAATTGGAGAGTTAGATGACCTTTCCGTTCAAACTCTTAATTTTATGATCCCAGCGGGGGGTGGACACACACACACACACACACACACACACACACACACACACACTCTAAAACTATCTGCTGGAAAGGCATCTATCGTTAAATGTATTAGCATGGAAATTAAACTAGTTTGGAAGACATAGAAAGGCTTGTGGAAGCATATTAAAACCTTTTTTAGTTCAACTGAAAGTATTAAGAAATAAGTATTTCTCCAGCCTAAAATCCATTCTAGACTTCTTGTTCAGTCGTGTCCAACTCTTTGTGACCCCATTTGGGGTCTTCTTGGCAAAGATACTGGAGTGGTTTGCCATTTCCTTCTCCAGCTCATTTTACAGATGAGGAAACTGAGGCAACCAGGATTAAGTGACTTGCTCAGGGTCACACAGCTACTAAGTGTCTGAGGCCAGATTTGAACTCAAGAAGATGAGGCTTCCTGACTCCAGGTCTGGCACTTTATCCCCTGGACCACCTAGCTGCCAATTCCAAAAGGAACTTTATTACTGATGCAGTAGATAGAGGGCTTGACCTGGAGTCAGGAACACCTGAGTTCAAATCCAGACTCAGATACTTACTAACTGTATGACCTTGGAAAAGTCACTTAACCTCTGTCCCAGTTTCCTCTGCTGTAAAATTAGGGTAATAATAGCATCTACTAGGTTGTTATAAGGATCAAATGTGATAATGTCTGTAGAATGTTTAGCACAGTACATGATGCTATATAAAGGCTAGCCATTATTATTAGGAAATAACACTTTCCTCTAAAATCCTTTTCTCTCTTGTCTTAGAACCCCTTTCTTTTCAGAAAGTGTGCAAAAGGTCAAGAATGAAAGCTAAAGCTTCATGTGCATTTATCCTTATAAAATTGCTTCTTGTTTTGATATGTATATGTGTGCGTATATATATACATACATACATATATACAGATAGATAGATAGATAGATAGATAGATAGATAGATAGATAGATAGA